CCTTTCCAGATGGATTGCGAAGACACACAATCAACCCTTGTTCGGAGAGATCCGGGATTCCAGGTACAAGTCCAGGAAATGGTCTGCATCTTTCTTGCTGGTGTAATGGCCCAAAGCAAACACCTTGTTATTTCCGGAGAAGGGCGATTTCCTTCTCTTTGTTGCTTTGCGTTCCTGGCTGCATGAACACTGAATTGTTCACAGAAAAACACAACACTCGAGCCCTTCTGCTGACCTGCAGTTAGCATCTAGGAAGAAGCCTACATGGGAATACTTTCCTCTGCAGCTGACGGTGTTCTTTAAATCTGGCGTCGGCAGAGTCTGACCACTAGCAGGATGTTCAGGAATGACGACATGTATCAGCAGACTGGAGAGGACGACATAGCCAGACCCTCCTCTAATGAGACAGTGGATGGGCAGAGTAGCATTGGCTGAGTGTCTAAACACCGATGGAGAGAGCAATGTTCCCTCTAATGTTTTCCACCTCTGTACAGAATAAATTTTGTTCTGTGCACCAAGGCATATGCAGATGTGCACCACCAGTAGAAACAAATGCTGCCTGCTGCGGGCGCTCTGCTAATCAACTGAGTGGCACCTGAATCTCTCCTGGGGGGCCGCCGTGCTCAGTACAGGGAACACTGGAGAGGAGTTACTTTGTGTATGTGGAGGGAGAGTAGGACCAATGGTAGGACCAAAGGGCCAGGGGGTACACTGGTTCCCAGGAAATATTTGCCTCTGCCTGCCATTGAGCCGTAGGGAGCTCTGGCACAGTCTCCCTTATTATGTAAAACTAGATGGGCCAAAGCACCCCCCAAATGCTCCATTCGCCCCTGGGAGAGATGATAGACATGATCTCGCAGGCCTTTTCCCTCCCCTGCTAGAGCCGGTTCGCGAGCAGGCACGACGTCGACGGTCTGGGCTTTTTGTTCCTCTTGTTCCTTTTTTTGTTCCTTTTGTAACCCCTGACTCCGCAGCCAGCAAACCCCCTCCCCCCCGATCTCTCTCTCTGCACATGCAGTACTAGGTCTGCCAGGAGTACCAGGCAGATCCAGCCACGAGCTCTCAAAAGCTGACGTGGCAACTTCTCCTTCAACAAAACAGACCAGGAATCAAAACACGGGACCTGGGGGAGCGCTCGGCATCTGGTGAGCTGCAAACGTGGGGCCTGCGGGAATCACTTGCCGCCTGCTGTGGAGCGCTCCCGCCAGAGGTGCCCGCTGGGAGCCCAGCAGCGAGCACAAACAGGCCGTCCTGCTCCTCGTGGAATGGGACGGGAAGGTCCCTTGTTTGGGGTCCCCAGCTCCAAGAGGCGAGTGAGGAGAGGGAGCGTTCTGCACGGGGACACGGAGCTCTCTCCCACGCAGCCCTTTCTCCCCGTGCTCTGCGTCTCAGTGTCCCGCCCTCCCTGCAGCTCCGGCCGCTGCCTGCAACATGGCTCTCCACCAGCCACAGCCCGGTAGCCATTGGGCAGCCTGCCACCAGCCGGTGGGGACTGGCTCGAGCGCCCCTTGTAACTTGTGATGGGCAACAGCCTGTGCCCCGTGCTGGGGTAGGGGGACCCCCTTACACTAATTATTCCGAATCCGGACCGTAGCCGTTGGCAGGCCCTGAGTCCCCCCCATGCTGGTGTCCCACATCCTGTCCTGAGCCTGCACCCTAACCCTGGCCAAAGACTCCCTTTGGGCTCCCCACCACACCCTGCTTTGTGCTGGCTCATTCCACTCAGCTCCTGCGACAACGCTCAGTTTAATCCTCGCAGGTGGGTGTTGATTCACCCCCCTCCCAACACACACACGCTCCATCTGTCTCAGTAGCAAAAGCCCCTGAGCCCGGCATGGCCCAGCCGTCGCTCTGTCAGCCCCAGGAGGGAAGGGTGCAGGCCTGTATCGAGAGAAGCACTTCTGATACTAGTGGCCATCTCGGTGCGGAATCTGGCCCCCGAGTTAGCTCCTCGGCAGGGCAGTGGGCATGAGCAAAGCAGCTCCTGCCCGCAGTTCCCCCTGGGCAGTGCCTTGGAGAACGCTGGCTGGGAATGGGGGATCAGTGCTGCCTTGGTGGTGACCACAGCACGGAAGCAGTTAAGCTGAACAGAAATGAGCTTTCCAGGCCTGTCTGGTGTGGGCCCTTGGACCGCTGAAGTACCATATGGAAAATGACAATAAGGTTTAAAACAAAAGGAAGTTTTTCTTTATGCAGCGCACAGTCAACCTGTGGAACTCCTTGCCAGAGGATGTTGTGAAGGCCAGGACTTTAACAGGATTCAAAAAAGAACTAGATAAATTCACGGACCTTAGGTCCATCAATGGCTATTAGCCAGGAGGAGTAGGAATGGTTTCCCTAACCTCTGCCAGAGGCTAGCAATGTGTGACGGGAGAGGGATCACTTGATGATTCCCAGTTCTGTTCACTCCCTCGGGGGCACCTGGCATTGGCCACTGTCGACAGACAGGACACTGGGCTGGATGGACCTTTGGTCTGACCCAGTCTGGCCGCTCTTATGATAAATCTGAAGTTTGGTGGGTTGGCACCTCTTCAGCAGCAGCTTAATGCTCAGGCTGAACGGCCACAGGACACATGGTGATGCCTGCAGGGACCAAACGCACTCAGCTAGTTTGCGGGACCCTACGTGTTTTGAGGTTCACTGCCAGACACTGCTGGGGACGAACCCATGTCACATGGATTCAAGAAGCTCCATTTCTTTTCCAAGATTCATATTGCAGGTCATCAAGTCCAGCTCCTCTGCACCTAATGCAACACCTCCAGCCCCCCTCAACGCACACCCTCAGGCTACTACGTTCTCCATCCTGTTTGCCCTAGTGGCCTAGGGGCTTTTCTTCCTTTGACGTGTCTTTTGGTTTCATTCATTTCCTTTGTGCTTGGATTCCTTCTCTTCCTCGTTCCCATCCTTGCTAGCAGGACTCTATGTAATGCTTTTAGATCTGGATAATCCGGCTTGGCATATCCGTGTAACTGTCTCTGAAGATTAGTAGAAACCAATGTGAAGGGCTGGATGAACAGTGGACCGGCAGCTAATCAGAGTGTTGTTTTTAATTCACCCGTCTGAAGACGCTATCATGGCAGATCTTCTTGTAATATCTCCTAACCTCCCTGTGACGCCCCCTCAGTGCTTTATGAAATTGGCTTATGAATATAAATATGCATAACTCGGAGATGCTTTGGACAAAATGCCTCCTGTAACCTATCCATTTTAATGTTGCAATCTGCTGTTCTGTATGTTCTATTTTGATGCATGTGTCATTCTTGTATGTAGAGTTATAAATATGACGTATGAGACTGTTTATTGTTCTAAATGTACTAATGAGAGCCATTACTGATGCCCCCTTCCAAGTGACTGGGTGATCAACTTAACTTGTAAACAGCCTTGTTAGCCCTGTAAGTCAAAAGGTGATTGGACATGTGACCATACCACCTGGTACTGGGATTCTATTTTGACCAGGTAATTTTCAGTGGAAGGGGGAATGGAGAACAAAGGATTCCTGCCCCAGGGGAAAGACTATTTAAGCAAGGGGAAGTTATCAGGTCTTTGTCTTTGTCTGGCAATAGCAGATGCAAAAAGACAGCTGGGGATCTGGGTCAAGATAAAGACTCTCTGACCTGAAGATTATGAGTAGGAAAAGAATAGCTCTTTAGGTAAGAATCTGTTTGCAATAAGTTTTAGTGTATTAGAAGCAGCTATGCATTTTCTTTTCATTTTAATTTTGTAACTTACTTTGATCTGTCTGTTTTGACTTGCAATCACTTAAATCCCACTGTCTGTACTTAATAAAAACAGTTTTGTCTATTGAGCCCAGTGTAACTAATTGTTACCTGGGGGAACAACCAGTGCGCATCTCTCTCTTTCATTGATAAAGGGGACCTGCCTGAATGAGCTTTCACTGTGTAAAACTTTAACAGAGAAAGACAGATTTGTTTGGAGTTTTGATTCCTTTCAAGGGTTGGTTCCCTGGGCGCTCTGCCCTAGAACTGCATTCTCCCAGAACTGAGGTGGCGTAGTGCCTGCATTGCTCTTCCGGGGGGTGGGGGACTTACCTCTACTCTGTGCCTTGTCTGGGAGAGACCAGAGGATGTGACCCAATAGGACAGGGTGATGGGGAGGAGGCAGAGCAAGAAGGCGGGTTTCAGGGGCATGATCAACACATTGGGGAACAATCCCAAGGGGTCTTCTGTGACCACATCCCATCTCACTCCCCAGGTTCTACTGGGATGAGGTCAGTGTCTGTAGGATAAAGTGCAATGGCTTTTTACCCTGCTAACATCAGGGAGACTGTAGTGTTGAATTTAGCCCAACACGTGCAGTTGGGGCATATATTTCTTCTTCGGTGATGAATTGAGCTTCATGAGAAGGCTATGACCATGGCTGCCAAGGGTTGTTTTAGAAATTATTGGACTGACATTTCCATTTTGTTTCCATTTACTTAGCTGCATAGTAGGCATGTTAAAATGCATTTATTTGTGTAAATGTATAACCGCTGAATTTTTCAGTGGTTATATGTTTACACCGGAAGGCAGGGGAGGAGGAAAGGTCCAAATACTTAAATTTTGTTAACTGATCTCTATGGCAATTGGCTAGTCCAGGGGCAGGCAAAATACAGTCCGGGGGCCCAGATCTGATTCACCAAACCACTGGATCCGGCCCACCAGTGTGCGGTGGTCAAAGAGGGAGCCTCAGGCAAGCTCCCTTATTGCCATGCCCCTGCACGCTGCTCAAAGCAGCCGGCTGCAGGAGCCACGCACTGTGTGTTGTATGAATATTCCTTTATGTTTGGTGTAAAGCTGCTGCCTATTAATGTCATTTGGAGACCCCTGGTTTTTGTGTTATGAGAAGGACTAAATAACACTCCTTCTCACCGTCTCCAGCCAGTCACGATGTTACAGGCCTCTGTTTTCCCCAGCCCTCTCTTGTCCCAGGGGAAATGTCCCCAGTCTTGTTAATCTTCTAATCGCCTATAGTAACATCTTGTTTCTTCCTCTGTGTCCTAGGTGTAGAATGTGCTGTTGACATCGACGAGTGCAAGGATGGGCCCTGTCAGAATGGGGCCACCTGTGAGGATGCCATTGCTGACTATTTCTGCTACTGTGCCCCTGGTCAGGATGGCATCCAATGGGGAGGGAAGAACTGCTCTGTGGCGCTTATGGGGTGCCAGACTCACGACTGCCAAAACGAGGCCTTGTGCATCCCAACTTACCACGCTGAGACCCATGGACGCCTTTGCCAGTGCCAGCCGGGCTTCTATGATGCCACATGCTCCACGTCAACAACGTTCTCCTTCAGTTCCCCTGGGTACCACCTTCTCCAACTGCCCCTGAAGAATAATGGGAGCAGTAAAGACGTGGCAGGGGATGTGACTAGGGTGTCACTCCGGTTCCGAACCACCTTGCCCAATGCCATCCTCGTCTACCGAGGGAATGAAGCAGAGTACCTGTTCCTGGAGCTCTCCGATGGCATGCTGCATGCGGGGCTGAGGCGAGACGATGCTGAATCCTCTTTGGACTTGAAGGGGCTGAGGGTTGATGATGGCCAGTGGCACAAGGCTGAGGTTCTGCTGCAGGATTCCCTGGAGTTACGGCTCTGGCATGGGGCTTGCAAGACAGGAGTCTGCCTGCAGGACATTCCTACTGGAAACAGTGCTGCTGCACCCTTCCCTGCATTCCTGAACACCTACATCGGGGGAGTAGATGGAGATTTGACTAATACCACCAGGAGCCGGGAGAGTTTCATTGGCTGCCTGGAGGACCTGGAGATTGATGATCAGATTATCCTTCCCTTTGATATCCCCCACCACGAGTCCTCCCCAGTGGAGCTGGGCTGCAACAGGACAGAATGGTGCCACTCCCAGCCCTGTTCTCAAAGAGGCCAGTGTGTAGACCTCTGGGTGACCTTTAGGTGTGACTGCGCTAGGCCTTACGAAGGCCAGACTTGTTCCCACGGTAAGTGCCAAAGTATGACCTCTGCCTACTTCTGTGGGGCTCAGCCATCTAGACACCTAGTGAGATGCTGACTTTGGACGCCCCAGTGTTTTCTGCTTAACCAGAGTCAGCCCTGAAACGGAGTCCTCTGCAAATAGATTTTCTATCAACCCCTCTGTATGTTGTGACTACGCAGAGCTGGCCCCTGCTAGAATGACTGTCAGTTACACGGTGTAAATACTGCAGCTAGAGCCAGATGCCCTGACCTTTTGGCACCAGATCACAGCAATTCCAGAAGGGCAGTGAAGTCATTTCAGTAGGAAAACTGTAACGTGCCCATCTCCAGTTCCGGGTGAAAAGGAAGGTGCTGTTTTTGTAGAGCAAATGCTCGGTGTTAAAGGAAACTGGTTTATGGAAGTCTGAGCTGAGATGATGCCTGATGCATTTTCACAGCCCTGCAGGGCTTGTATTAAGACTGGTGTCAGTTGCTGGTTTCACTCCCAGTCTCGCTAATGGTAGCAAGTACAAAAGCTTCCGTAATATTGTGGGGGAGAGGAATTTGGAAAGCAGCGCTGCCGTTTAACATTTCCCAAAGCGATCTGCCATGCCTCAGGGGCCATGCTACATGAGCTCTCCCTTGGTGTGCCGTGCACGCCTGACTTACTATCCGGAGGCAGGAGAGACACTCGCTGTTTTTCTGTCAATAGTTCACAGCAGAAGCTTTTGGCACTTTCCTTGCCCAGAGTTGCTAGGAGCTGGGTCCAGTCCTGAGACACAGGTGACAGCAAGTTTGGAAGAGGAGAAGTCATAAGAACGGCCGTACTGGGTCAGACCAAAAGTCCATCTAGCCCAGTAGCCTGTCTGCCGACAGTGGCCACGTGCCCCAGAGAGGATGGACCGAAGACAATGATCAAGCGATTTGTCTCCTGCCATCCATCTCCAGCCTCTGACAAACAGAGGCCAGGGACACCATTCCTACTCTCTGGCTAATAGCCTTTTATGGACCTAACCTCCATGAATTTATCTAGCTTCTCTTTAAACTCTGTTATAGTTCTAGCCTTCACAGCCTCCTCTGGCAAGGAGTTCCACAGGTTGACTACACGCTGTGTGAAGAACTTTCTTTTATTAGTTTTAAACCTGCTACCCATTAATTTCATTTGGTGTCCTCTAGTCCTTATATTAAGGGAACTAATGAATAACTTTCTTTATTCACTCTCTCCACATCACTCATGATTTTATATACACCTCTATCATATCCCCCATCAGTCTTCTCTTTTCTAAAATGAAAAGTCCCAGTTGCTTTAGCCTCTCTTCATATTGGACCTGTTCCAAACCCCTAATAATTTTAGTTGCCGTTTTCTGAACCCTTTCCAAGGCCAAAATATCTTTTTTGAGGTGAGGAGACCACATCTGTACACAGTACTCAAGATGTGGGTGTACCATAGTTTTATACAGCAGTGCCCGGCTGCGCGCGTGCAGCCCTGGCACATGCAATCAGGAGCAGTTACTGCGCACACCCAGCCAGCTGCATCCTCAGTTCCTTCTCTGAGCTAGACTTGCTGGAGTCCGAAGCAGAGGGGAGAAGGGTGGGTGGTGGAGCACTCACAGGGACTACCTTCTCAAAGAACTCTAGTTACTGCACCTGGTGAGTAACCTTCCCGGCTTCTTCAAGGTGTGTCTCCATGTAGATGGAGGAGGGAGCTTTGGCAGGTGCGAGTCTATGACCAATAGTATCATGTGGCCAAATCTTGTCTCTGCATCTGTAAATGTTTGGATCACATAATGCTGCATGAAGGTGTGTGCGGACACCCATGTGGCCACCTTGCAGCTGTATTCTGTGGGTATACCATGGAGGAATGCAGTAGTAGCTGCCATAGACCTTATGGAGTAGGCCCTGACATACAGTTGAGGTTCTCTCCTTTTTATGGTGTACGCTAGGTGGATGTACCTAGATACCCATTTTGACATTCTTTGTTTTGATATAGGGAACCCTTGTGATCTCTCCGTGGATTAAATGAGTAGTCACAGTGTTTTGCGAAAAGGGTTTGTACACTGCAGGTAAAAGGAGAGTGCCCTGCAGACATCCAAAGTATGGAGTGTCGCCTTTTTGTTGTCCTCGTGCGGCTTTGGGAAGATTGGTAAGTATATGGGTTCACTGCAGTGGAATAAGGTAAGTACTTTGGGAAGGAATTTGGGATGGGTCCGCAATACCACTTTGTCCTCATGGACTATTGTGTATGGGGGAGGTCGCCATTAAGGCTACTATTTTACCAACATGTCTAGCAGAAGTAATTGCTATGAGGAAGGCCACTTTCATGGACAAATGTAACAATAAACATGTGGCTAAGGGGTTGCCTGAGACAACTTTTAGCATGAGGTTCAAGTCCCATGCTGGAACTGGGTCCTTACATGGAGGAAACATGTTATGTAGCCCCCCCCAATAAAGCAAAGTGAAGACAGAATATCCCTGTATGCAGGTATGGAGGGCCGATATAGAAGCAAGATGAACTCTGATGGAACTCAAGGAGAGAGCTGCATTATGTAGGTCTAGTAGTAGGTATTGTAGAATTTGCGAGACTCCTGTATGGGAGGGTTCATAGGAGTATGTCTCACACCATGTGGTGAAATGCTTCTAGATGTGTGTCTTCCTCATTGTAGAATAGTGATAGAAATGTAGCCGTGTTAGTCTGGGGTAGTTGAAGCAAAATGCAGGACAATGTAGCACTTTAAAGACTAACAAGATGGTTTATTAGATGATGAGCTTTCGTGGGCCAGACCCACTTCCTCAGATCAAATAGTGGAAGAAAGTAGTCACAACCATATATACCAAAGGATACAATTAAAAAAAAGAACAAATATGAAAAGGACAAATCACATTGCAGAACAGAAGGAGGAGGCGGGGGGGTGGGAAGGGGGAGGAAGGAAGGTAAGTGTCTGTGAATTGATGATATTAGAGGTAGGGAGAGTGGGATGTTTGTGAGTTAATGGTATTACAGGTGATAATTGGGGAAACTGTCTTGATAATGGGTGGGTTACGGCTGGAGCTCAAAATGTCTTTTAGACACCTGCAGTGCCCTGCCTCACGGAACTGACGTGTCTTTCCTTTCCCTTCTAGAGTACCCAGCAGGAACCTTTGGCCTGGAGGATTCCTCCAGCTTTGCTTCCTTCACAATTGTGGATAACCCTGGTGCAAACTTCAACGTCTCCTTTTTTATCCGCACTCGGAAGCCAAGTGGCCTCGTGCTGCAAATCAGCAATGGGACTGCCCCTTGCCTCGTGGTGTACCTAAAGAATGGGCAGCTCCAGATAGCAACACTGTCCACAAACACCGTGACTTTTGCAGAGAACCTGGCTGATGGGAGGAGACATCTGGTAACTCTCACCCTCCAAGGAGGAGTTGTCTATTCCAGCCATTCCGACAGAGCCGTGGTGCTAGGACCACTGGCAGTGGTGCCTCTGCTAGCTGGTTATGAGGTGTACGTTGGTGGACTTCCTCACCAAGACCACGTGAGCCCATGGGGAGGATATTTTAAAGGCTGTCTTCAAGATGTCCAGCTCAACAACCGCCAAATGGAGTTCTTTCCTTCACAGGCTGAGAACTACAGTCGGCCACAAAAGGTGTACATGGGACAAACCACAAACCTCACACAGGGCTGCATCTCTGATGACACCTGCAAGGTAGGGACTCGCTGCTCTCGGCACGTGTGCATGGTTGTTTCTTACAAGCCAGCCTCCATGGCTCTACAGCAGTTTAGCTGTTGTACTGGTGTGATTTCGGGAAAAACGGGAGTGTTTAATTGTTGAAGGAGAAAGTGCACAGCCCCTAAACACTCCACCTCCTTCAGATACCTCTACCTCCTGCTCCCTCCAGAGAGGACAGACACACCCAATGCGTACAACATCCCCAAACCACCTCCTTCCTGCAAACACACTGTCTTGTCCACTTTGTCATCCCCACACCCGCTTTGTGCACCCAAACACCACATCGCTGCCAACACTCACCCTCTCCTTTAACCTTCTCAGTCACCCTCCAGAAACACTCTCACCTCCGGCACACATGCTCAACTGCTGTTAAAGTGATGGAGCACTATCGCAACCATTAGGGGAGGCAGGGTCTGTCTGATGAGAGGGGCTCTCTGTCCTCCCCGATGTACGAGACAGGTGCTAGGTTGTGCTTTCATTGCTGCTTCTGCCAGCTCTGCCTGCCTTCGTTGCACCTGTTATACGGCGCTATCTCCACTTCTCTCGCCTCTGCTTTGGCTGGTGGGAGTGTCACCCTGGAAACAGCTGCCTGTGTTGTTTTCAGGGACTTTTGCAACTTGTCTCTGATGTTTCTCACACTCCCTTCTGTGCCTCACAGTTTGGTTTTCACCTGCACCTGTGAACTCCAGCCAAGTTATTTTAGTTGATTATAATTAGCCACTCTTCACGCCGCACTTTGGAAAGGGAATGCGCTATGTAAGTGCGAAGGGTTATTATTATGATGTGCTGTGTTCAGATGCCACCCAACATCAACGTTTCAATTAAAGGAGTTTTAATGGAACCTGCAGGGATTGGCACCTTCTCTATTTGTTTTAAATGACTTAGAATTGGCCTTTAGCTCATGATGACTATTCTCAACTGCATGTAATTAATCAGCAATTACCAAGCACTGTGAGGTTTCCTGCTCCTCCAATAGCCAATGTTTCCTTGCAATCTTCATGCTACCAAAGGACTGGGCAGCAAAGGAGAGGCTGTGTCAGAAGAGAAGGCCCTAATTTCCAATGAGAGGTGTAGTATGGAACGTGTCTTGCCTCTGTTTGTGTGTGATCTGTAACCATGAGTTCATCCAGGTCCTACTCCGTATTGTTTTTCTCATCTCTGCTCCCTAGTGCATTGATTTCACAGGGTGGCTTTTGAAAACCAAGAATGGTGAGGTTTCTGTAGGAATTACGCTGCAGGGAGCCCTCCCTCATCTGAGCTAAGTAGCTGTTTGCTTTAATTTGAACCAACAAAGACCATGCTAAAAACGATGCCTGTTGAAAGGTGGCTGGTAATCAACAGCAAAGAACAGTAGATCAGAGTTGTTTCTCCCCACCCTCAAATAACGAAACCCAATTGTGTCAGACCCAATGCTCCCCCCAAATCCAAACTCCAAAGCACAACGTACTTGCATCATCTCCAAACACCTGTTCAGGTAGGTGAGATTTGCAACATCTCCTGAAGATCAGTAAATTCAGGCTATTTTGTGTCAAAGGAGGGAGGGAGTTGAAGTGACGTGATCCCCACTGAGACCACCAGCTGTTTTCTCAATTCTCTGAGGAAACTCATTTTTGAGTCATCACCGCTGTGGCAGGGGATGGGGCAGTGAGAGGAAAGACCCCAGCTAGGTGTGTTTCAGAGAATGTTTCTGTTGTCCCTCTCTCAGTACAGCTTTACTGTAATACCTGTCCTCCCTGATTCAAATGCCATTTGTGCAAGTGTTGAATGTTCCATTTCCTTCCACCATACTCCACTTCTTTTATTGACCGATGAACCATCCTCCTCCTAACTGAATGCTCTCCTGTTTTTCAGTCTGGGCCATGTCACAATGGTGGCACATGCACGGTCACCTGGAACGACTTCCATTGCCACTGTCCAGCCAACTTCACTGGGAAAACCTGTGAGGAACGAGTCTGGTGTGCAGGTGATCCATGCCCCAAAGCCACCTTCTGCGTGGACGTTCCAGCAGGATACGTGTGTAAGTGCTGCCTGCCTGGGTGTGTGCAGGAAAAGGCTTTGCGCTGACTCTTCCGCACGTCAGTGTTTCCTGTTAGCACTGTTGCCGTCACTGCCGTAGGCACTTGGGAACCTAACGCAATGCAGTGAGAGGAGTGCCGCGTGCCGTCTCCGGTCTGTGCTCCAGCTGCATTTGGCACCCAGAATGTAACTGTGAAGAGACGGTGCATAAGCAGCCTGCTTTTGCTACTTTTAACTTTCACCCGGGTAGGGAAGAGAGAGAATTGTCCATTTCTGGCAGGGATTCTAAGGACGCTAAGGTGCAATATCCGTGAAAGGCATGAAAAGGGCTGATCCAAGTCCAGAATGTTGGGTTATTTCACAGAGCAGGTCTCTTACACCTGTGTGCGACAGCAGCTTCTGGGTTGGCAGCTGGGAGATAACCACAGTGGCAAGTTGGAGGAGGTCAGCGGAGATCATCTTGGCCTCACGAACGATTTCCTAGACAGGAGGCCAGTCGTAGCTAAGAGCTTTAATAACGCCGGCTGCCAAGGCTTTAAAGTACAGGATGAGGAGCAAACCCCACCGATCCCCACGCTTCCCAGCTACTAATGAGACTGTGTCTTCCAGGATGATGCCTTATCAAACATGACCCTTAACATCCTTCAGACTCCTAACACTATCTTGCTTTTAATTTCAGGTCTGGCCAATGCAACGTTCCATGGTAACACATCCGTTGAATTCACCACCAATGCTTCTGTCACCAGAGCGCTTACCAGCCTCTACCTCGACTTCAAAACTAGGGACAAAGACGCCTTTTTGCTTTGGGCAACCGAAGAGGTGGACTCCCTCCAAATCACCATTCAGAACTCCACTCTGCTGGTGGCGCTCCGAAGCGGGAACAGCATCGAGGGGGTCAGCTTCCTGAGCCAAACACCCATTGCAGACGGCTCCTGGCACAGGGTGTCTCTGTCTATGGAAGAACCTTCGGTGCTGTCTTCAAGGTGGCTGGTTCTTTTGGATGGGTCTGTGAATGGCACCCTCCAGGGGAGCGCTGGAAACCTGGACTTCTTGAAGAGCAATGCGCTGATCGTGCTAGCTGAGAATTACACAGGCTGCCTCGGACATGTGAACGTGGGGGGGGTGTATCTGCCCTTCACTGGGCATCTCGCTTACCCTCAGCCAGAGCAATTTCTGCAGTCTAGCAGTGGGCGTGTCCAGCTGGGCTGCACAGGGGCGGATGTCTGCACCTCGAGCCCCTGCTTCCACGCAGGCACGTGTGAGGACTTGTTCAATTCCTTCCAGTGTGCCTGCAGTGCTGGCTGGGAGGGGCCTCTGTGTGAGTCTAACATAGATGACTGTAAGTCCAGCCCCTGCGTCCATGGGGACTGTATGGACTCAGTGGCCGATTTTCAGTGCGACTGTCACAGGGGCTACATTGGGAAGAGGTGTCACATCAACGTGGATGATTGCGTGCGGCACCAGTGCTTAAACGGTGCGACCTGCGTCGATGGGGTTTACAGCTACTCCTGCAAGTGCCCCCCTCAGTACTCAGGACCTCGCTGCGAGTAGGTACCCTTCTCGGTTCGCCTGTGGATAAAGTAGCTTCCAGGTGTCTTGGATTTTCTCTTAGCAAGATGTCAAAAAAGAATTCTGGGTCTGAAAGGTCGCGGATGTCTGAGATGTATTGTGAGTCTGCGGCCGGCAGGGCTCGCTGGGCATGTTTTGCTTATGGAGGCTCTGAACTTGTCAGGTGCTTATTGACATTTCAAGGGTGCTAAGCAACCTCCAATCCTGTTGAAGGCTGCTCAGCACCTTGTGGCAACAGGGGCTCTTCTTCAGTAGCGACATCTCTGCAGTAAATGGCAGAACCACGTGGTAAACAGCTTTTATCCTGCTTGTCTTACCACCTCGCCTGCGTTCTGCCTACAAATCCATCTCCTGCCTGGCTTACCCTGGCATTCCACATCTCAGAGCAGCTTCAAACAGCTGTCTGGGGAGTTAACGAAGTAGAACAGCCTCCTGGCAGGAAACCTCTCTCTTTCCTCAAAAAGCTCCCCCTCTCAGCTCCCCAGTTCCACGAGTCCAAGGCACAAGGCACACAGTACCCCGTTTTGCAGCAGGAACAGGTTCTAGAATCCTAGAAACGTAGATGGAGCATGGATCTCAAAGGGTCACCAAGTCCAACCACCAGGATTGAGGCAGGACCCTATAAATCTAGACGATCCCTGGTGGGTGGTTGTCCAACCTGTTCTTTAAAAAACTGCAATGGGGGGGATTCCACAATGTGTCTTAGTGGCCTATGCCAGAGCTTAACTACCCTTCAAAAGGTTTTCCTCCTAGATAACCTAAAGCTTTCTTGCTGCAGAAGAAACCCACTGCTGCTTGTCTCATCAGCAGTAGTCATGGACAACAATTGGTCGCTGTCCTGTTATAAGGATCAATGATCAATGGCTCGATGTCAGGTTGGCAGTTGGTTTCAAGTGGAGTGCCCCAAGGATCGGTTCTAGGGCTGGTTTGTTCAACATCTTTATTAGGGTCCTGCCCTTGGGACAGAAGAATCCCAAGCACTGTTACAGGCTGGGGACTGACTAGCTAGGTAGCAGTTCAGCAGACAAGGACCTGGGGATTAGAGTGGATGAGACGCTGGATATGTAACAACAGTGTGCCCCGGCAGCCAAGAAGGTTAATGGCATATTAGGGTGCATTAGAAGGAGCATTGCCAGCAGATCTAAAGAAGTGATTATTCCCCTTTATTTGGCACTGTTAAGGCCACATCTGGAGTATTGCATCCAATTCTGGGCCCCCACTACAGAAAGGATATAGACGCATTGGAGAGGGTCCAGCGGAGGGCAACCAAAATGTCCTGCCATGGGGCAGGGAGACTGGACTCGATGACCTCTCGAGGTCCCTTCCAGTCCTAGTATTCTATGATTCTATGATTAGGGGCTGAAGCACATGACCTACGAGGAGAAGCTGAGGGATTTGGGCTTATTGGGGGAGGTATAGGTTGGAGATTAGAAAAAAACCCTATTTCCCTAGGCAGGTGGGGAAGCACTGGGATGGGTTACCTGAGGAGAGGGTGGAATCTCCATCCTTAGAGGTTTTTAAGTCACAGCCTGACAAAGCCCTGGCTGGGACGGTTTGGTTGGGGTTGGTCCTGCTTTGGGCAGGGGGCTGGGCTCAATGACTCCTGAGGTCTCTTCCAGCACTGGGATTCTCTGAATCTCTGATAAGCACTCTCAACATATTTGTTGACTGTTAGTGGATCCACCCTCATTTGTCTTCTCATGACCCAGGCTATGTCTACACTTGAAGCTTTTGGTGCAAGTACGGCCGTTCTTGAGCAAGAATCTGCACAGCGTCCACACTGCCCGCCCGCTCTTGCGCAAGGAAATTTACAGTACGGTGTGGTAAGAGAGGGTTCCTTGCACAAGAGTTACGCTCTTTTTTATCAGGTGTAAGCCCTCTTGCGCAAGAGGGCAGTGTGGATGCTCGGCAGGGATTTCTGGGCAAGAAAGCCCTATGGCTAAAATGGCCATCAGAGTATTCTTGCGCAAGAGAGCGTCCACACTGCCATGGGAGCGCTTGCACAAAAACACAGCGCGCACATGGGAGTGTGGACGTTTTCTTGCACAAGACTTCTTGCACAAGAACCCTTGCACAAGATGTTCTTGCGCAAGAAGCCGCCAGTGTAGACATAGCCTAAATGTGCCCTGTTACATTTAATGTTTCTGCTGAACTCTTCTGTCTGCCTCGTTCCTAGAGTGTGGCGCTCACAACTGAAGGCAGCACTCCAGATCTCATCATAGATTCATGGAGTTGGACAGATGCCGCCTGTGACAACCCTCCCATCGAGACACTCCAAATAATATTGGCCTATTTTGCCCCTGCATCACACTGCTGACGCTTAGTCAGGACGTAGACCCTTTCAGCAGTACCACCACCACGTAGTCCAGCTTCCCCAGCTTGGAGTTTTGCAAGTCTATTGCAATGGGCTGCAAAGTGAGAGCTCCTCCCGTGGGCAGAGTGTAGGCAAGGCAGGCTGTGTTGCATGGAGAATGCAATTTTTCACAGGACTATTGCCAGCATGAGTGTGTGTGTCCATCTCCCCTATGGAGATTACATAGCGAAGTCTACGTTTTGCATGTTTTCTCCTATGTGTGTACCGTACGTATCTCCACTGTGTAAAACAGTAGCTCATTCCTTGAAACACATCAGCATCTACAGTAATGACCACGAACTGTTAGGGACAAGCCCTACCCCAGGCATTCTCTGGGCTCAGAGTGAAGCCAGGAATGGGCGTTTTCCAAACTGCTGGTCTCCTGCCCAGCGCACGATGGGTCTGCTCTCAGGATGAATGGCTGTTCCCCTTCCTTTGAGTAGGAGTTTTGACGTGTGTGCTTGTGCTTTTTCCAGATGGCCATTCCCACCTCAACAGTGCGGCAAAAACTTCACCTGCTTGAATGGAGGCAAATGTACCAGTGGGACGTGGGGCGCCAACTGCACCTGCAAGCCGGGATTCACTGGAAGGAAGTAAGAAAGAAGGGCCATTCCAGGATGCTGCTACCACCAAAGCTTCACCTGTCTCACCGTGGAGACTGGTGGCACAGGCTGGAAAATACTATTCATTGCAGTTACTCATCTCCCTCCCCCTTCCGCTATTGAAACGATTACTCCTCATTTTCATCCAGCCACCCTATGGAAGAGGCCGCCGTGAGGGTGGCTCTTCCTTCACAGTTTTAAATGCCTAACACATGGGCTGTAGGTGAGAGTTGGCACATGCAGTGATAATGGTGACATTGGTCCGGGCATCTGGGGATACTAACTCCTTGTTAGAGGGGCAACCCAGCGTGGGCCCCCAACCACAGGGAACTGCCACAAACCAGAACCTCACCATTTCACCACTGAAAACAGCAAATATCTGTCCAGTCCCCATGCTGTTAAATGCCGACCTCGATGGCTGCTCGCCTCACTGGAGTTTGCTCTCCGGCTTCCTCTCAGTGGGAGGTAGTGGACGGAAATTAGTGTGACCGGGTGGATTAGTCACCCTTTTGTGCCTTTTGGAAGGAATTGCTGCAAGGCCCTCTGGACCAGTGGTTCTCAACCAGGGACAGGTGTACTCCCGGGGGTGGGCAGAGTTCTTCCATCAGCTCACCTAGACTTTAGCCTCATTTTGCGACAGGCTACCTAAAAGGCACTAGTGCTGTCAGGGCAAACTAACATGTCAGGTGCCCCCAAGTTCCTGCAATACAACAGTACTCGTAAGAAACTGAAGTTGCTTTCACCCCTGGGTTATATGGTGAAAATGAGAAAGGGAGCCACTCATCAGTAACAGGCTGCTGTGGCACCTGTGTATTTTTATTCTGTGTGCCGCTGCGGCCTGGAAGGAGCACAGTTGTCTGGCAGGCTTGGGGACACCTGCTCCTGCACCAAAGGACAATTCTCTAGGGCCAAAGTGTGTCTTGGTGCCCATGCATTCAGGTAACTCGAATGCCTTTTTCCCCCGCCAGTTGTCAAATTAACATCAATGAGTGTGAGCCAAACCCGTGCCAGAATGGAGGGACGTGCCAGGACTCGGTGAACAAGTACGAGTGTGTGTGCAGCGCCAGCTACACCGGGGAGCGCTGTGACGTTGACGTAAGCAGATCCTCTCCCTCTCTTGTCCATGACAGGGCTATTCTCTCTTGCTGTGTCAGCGGCTTAGGCTGTGAGGAGCAGGAGAGGCAGACTGGTCAGTGTCAGGCAGGCATCGATCAGTGGAATTTCCTTCATTCCCTGACACATTTCATATGCCCCTCTGAATCCAATGAAAGGAAATTCAACCGACACACACACGGAGCAGGCTGGAGAGTGATGAATGTTACACACTCTGGGGTTCTAGTTTATTGCTAAATCAATGGAGCAAATACGTTTGAGTCTGTCCTGGTGGCCATTGATCTAGACAGTGGCCCCTCTTCAGCTTGCACCAATCCCTGGGCAGCAACTCAGAGTAGCTGGACCCAAAGAGGGAGGGTTGTTGTGTGTGTTACTGATGCATCTGCTTTCCCATAACTACTGCTGCAAAATGGCAACCCAAAGTCCTTAATTGCAGCTGTTCAAAAAGAAACCCAATTAAATGTAAAGTCAAACGAAGCTAGATCATAGTCAAGCTGATGTGCGTAAACCTTCAAGACTGTACCTTTGTACAGATTCCAAAATGCACTTCAGGTTGTCCAGAGAGGATAAATCTGACAAGACTCGAAATGGAAAATGACTGGCATTTCCATTACAACGGGACAGGTCTGATTCAAAGAAACCGAACCAAAGTTCTAGGAAAGCCAAACATGTTGGCTTCGAAGGAAAAATGAAGTCAGTTCTTCGAGCTGGTGATAGTCTAGCAGGATGCTAACAACTGAAAGGGGTTTTCGCCAGCCACTCAGTAGCAGCTGGCTGCTTAGTCAAAAGTTATCCCCATGTCCCAGGGGAGAAAGTCTGGTAACCAGCTGGATTCCAGGGTGTGACAGGTGCAGCCAGTCCACAGGCCCGAGGCATCGTCTCTGGTACAGCTAGCCGTGAGGCAATGACTGAAATGTCATCCACGCCAACAGTGAGGGTACTTCCATTGCCATGCTCTGAGCTAGGTCTCTGATGAAGCAGAATAAAGGGGGATCATCCTCCCTGGTTTCCCCACCACCAGCTCCTGCCCCCACCCACCCAACCAGACTGGAACTTCAGCAGGCATTTTAGCACGTGCCAAAGGGTTAAGGAGCAGGCATTTCCCCTTCAGAGCTCATTTGCTAGGTTGAGCTGTGTGTGCCTGGAGTCTGGAGGAAGGAATTAGATAAAATCAAAGGTAAATGTGATTAAAGTAAAAAATACCAGGCAGTCTAGCTACGGAGAAAATCCTCTTACTCAGCCCGCGGAGAGCATGATGGACAGGATCCAGGAAGCCCGGCTGTTTCTACCTAAACTAGCCCGGCCTGGGAGAGAAGGCGAGCAGTTTGCTTTAACAAGCTTCTGGGAAGGCAGGTTCATGCTCTTTTGTGGTTCGGAAGCCATTTGCATGGGCAGGTAGGGTGTCGGTAACTTGGGAATGCACTAACCCACAATGCATGGTCCGCTGGCTAACAAGCAGTGCCTGTGTCAGGGTGGGGTTCACTGCTGTTGCTGTTGGTGATCTTGGGGAGATTTAATGCATGCGCCACACTGAGGACGTTTGTACATTTCCAGTCTCCACGCGCAAAGCCCACTCCCAGCCCGCACGAGCTTCCTGCTGTGCCAGGATGCTGCCTGGGGCGTTCCTGTGCTGCTTTTGGCTTTCTTTTCCCATTC